CGCGGTCGCAGTAATTTTCCCAAAAATTAAGCGCGGTTACATTTTTCCTCAAAAACAATGTACTTTCCATGCTTTTAGTTGAAACTGTTAACAAATATTTAAATGAAAAGAAGAAAATTAGTTGGTTTTCACCTTCAAGCAAATGCTCAGTGCAGTGACTTACCCTGTCAGACTGAGCTGTAAAATGGAAGGCTCTGGATCCAATTCCTGAGGGAATGCAAGTTCAGCAATTTGATACAAACCTATGCGTTTCGTATTTCAGATAAGAGAAGGAGCAAAAGCAGGCCTCCGATTGCGACACAGTTGAAAAACGCTGACTCCGCGAGTTTGAATTATCGCGCCAAATTGGAACACAGTGCGGCCGGCGCGAAACGGCGCCGGCGGCGGCATGTTAGCGCCTTCAAGACTGCAGGTATACTTCACGCATTGCGCACACGCAACTGCGTATCGGATGATCCGCGCTCAAATAGTTGAAAATTCGTTATTTTTCGGTATCGCACCCACCGCGGTGTACACTATTTCCGACCAGTGTACACCGCGAGCCTGCGATCCTAGGATCGTAGGATCGTGGAGATTTTGCACCCCTGAATCTGACTAAATCAAGAGTATTTTTTCTTGTCGATGATCTTAAGCGTCTGGACTCTAGATCCAATGTGATTTTTTTTCCAGTGTGCCGTGTTACTGGAGAACGCCGTATGAGCCTTCAGGCGTTGCCAAATTTCCTCTGAGCAAATTCGAACTTTAGGGAGGATTCGTAAGCTTTTGTACTTCAATTTAATGAAGAATTTTGTTCGTGACGTGATCAAAAGTTTCTGAAAATCTCAAGGAAAAATATTCATAACTGTCTTCAGAACTGAATATTTTCTGAGAGGCAATCTGGCAACATTCGAATGCTCATACGGCGTTTTTCATGTCATGAAGGTTTGCGCTTTAGCTGCCGCACGGTGACGAGAATGTGAACGTCTGGAGACAGAATGTGGCGGCGCGGCACTCGCACTCAGCAGTGCGCGTGGCGTGCTGACGCGCCCGCTCGACGCAATTCCGACTTCGGCCGCTAGTTGCAGTTCGATCGCTCGGTTCCCTATCGCAAAGCTGCAAACCAGCCTGGTGGGGAGTCGGCGATCGACTATAAATAGTGGCCGGAGCATAGGCCGGGCACCAGTATTTGATCAAGATTCGTAGAAGACCAACCAGTCCCAGTCGTCGGCTCGTCCCGTAAGCACGAGGGCTATGGCCCGAACCTCCGCGGCACAGACCCGCACTACAATCACGCCCCGGACGCGTACACCAAACTCGGCTCAGACCCGAACCCCAAACTCGGCTCAGACCCGAACCCCCCCCC